GGAAAATAAGACGAGAAAAGACTGTCAAAAGAAGGCAGGTTCATAGTGCATTGGGCTTCCGTCTCGTCACACCTGAAAGCGGAGACCTTCAGCCTAGGCTTCATTAGTCCCGACTTTTGGGTCCCCTGGTTATTGGGGAAGAGCAAGTTGGCGGCCCGTAGTCCATGCGACATCTGCCATACGGAGCCATCCTGGTAGAAGCGACTGCCATACTTTAGCATCCTGCGCCTGGAGGCGCCATTCTTGCGATCCACTGGCTCTGTTGAGTTTGATCTCTTCATTCGAGAGATGTGGGTAAAAACTGGCGGGGTGGACATACCCGTCCTTTTTGGTGGTTTGTTCTTTCCACCACGAGTAGTTCCTGTAGTTGTCCATCTTCGCGCTAGCTGGAGGTTGGTCGCGGTATAAGGCCCTGGCAAGGTGCCCTTTGTACTGCCAATATCGTCGTAACCACGTCGTTGACCACCTCTCTACCTGATGTTGGTGCAGGATTTGTCGGGCTCCCCTAAGGGAGCGGAGACGATGGTCAAGCCAGGTTTCGTCTGCCCCTCTCCGGAATCCAGCAGCTTTCGCTGTCAGTTCCAGCTGCAGTGTATTGACTGCACCTAGCCCTTGGGGCGTCGGCATAATGGCCGAACTATACCACAGCACTGCTCCCCCCACCACCGCTCTAAGGACTCCGAGTTTTTGTTTCAACGGTGCTCTGGCGAGCAGGACATCTTTGTTGGCGTAGAACTTCTTTGTACCTTTTGCCATTCCAGTGTCCAGCAACGCATGGTGTTTGAGGGGCACACTTAGCGGGATGCTAAAGACCGTTAGTTCGGGGGCTGAGGTGAACGTTCGGCCCTCAATGACAATGGGCTCCTTCGTCATGCTGAACGGCGATGCGTAATAGGCCGTTTTTGCTGGGTTAACCACTAGCCCCCACTTGCTCAGCTCTCGTTGCAGCAGACGGTATTTGAGGACTGCATCCCGTTGGTTCGCCGCCCATAGCAATGTGTCATCCATAAACAGGACTTCGGCGACCGGCATTCCAGGAGCAGCCGGGATGGTCGACGGCCATTGTGGGTGGGCTTGGGCTGTCACTATTGCTGCTTCAATGGCCACAGCGAAAAGGAACGGGCTTTCGACAGCACCCTGCCGTATGCCACGTGATTGAGGCACCTCTGTGTCGCCCCATGGGGTGCGGATGGTGGCCACCCCTTCGCGGAGCAACTTGTTCCAGCAGGCATATTCTTTGGCCATGCTAGGTGGAAGTCTGTCACATAACAGCTGCAAGATCTTGTCACGATCCAACGAGTCGAAGGCTTTTTTGATATCGATTCGGATCCAATGGAGCCCGAGCTTCCATTCGGAGTCTAAGGCGAAGCTTCTCACGACAGTAGCCAGGAAGTCCGCGGTTTGTCTTCCTCCATGTGCGCATTGGCAGTGTCCGTCGGGATGTATGTGCACTCTGGTGCGGGCCAGCAGCATGGTGCCAAAGACTTTACTGGCGGCCGAGCCAAGGCTAATCGGCCTGAGGTCCCCTGGTCCCGTCGGCTTGGGTTTTTTGGGCAGAAGTGTGACGATCATTCTGAGCCACTGCGGGGGCAGCTCCTCGCCCATGCGGAGGCGTTCCATCCACTGTAGAAGGGCGAGCTCAGTCCTTTCATCCCTCAGCAGGGACCGCATAAGTTCAAAGGAGGTGAGGTCACACCCCACTGCTTTATGACTATGTCCCCTGTGCACCGCGTGTCTGAGTTCCTCCAGGGCGAAGGGTTGTCCTTCATTACCAGGCTTGCTCCAGGACGGTGGTTGCCGCGGGTGGGGGCACTGAAAGATGGTCCGGAAGTGGTCAACTGTCCACGATTGTGGGTCCTTACGTTCTTGTTCCGACGCTTCGAGGAAGTGCACCGCCCACTCGGTTTCTGGAAGTTGTTTGCAGCATTTGAACGCCGCCCAGTCGCCCTTTGCTGCGTCCTCCAGCTTACGGGTTCTCCACAGATCCTGTGCTTGCCGGCGGTGTTTGTGGGCAATCTTCCAGTCTTCCTCGCTGCCAGTTCGTTTTGCTCTCTGGTAGTCCATCTTAACAGAGTCCGGGTCGCGGTACTTCGCCGACTGCTTGGGTCTGGTGCATTGTTTTGCGAGCTGTTCCAGCATGTGTTGGTCAACATAGTCGCAAGGTGGGGGCTCCTTGAAGACCACTCGAGGTTGGGTCGGGCTTCTCGCGATCGGTTTTCGCACTGGGTCCCTGAACTGGAGGCTGGTGCGAATTCGATCGTGGTCACCTCCGATTTCTTTATATGAGTCTTTGTCGATCTGCACCGGGCTGCTGTGGGTGTGTTTGGCAGCCACTCCATCAATTTGGTATCCTTTGGCCGTTCTTCGGCGGGGTCTACTCGTCGGTGTTGTCCACTGTTCGGGGGGAGGTGCAAGAAGGTGCAATCCCGTCGCACCGAGTTCAGCTCCCAGGTAGTCCCCTCTGCTGTCGGTGGGTCGAAAAGTGCCACGGGCCTCACACGCCGATGTCCAGCTGAGTTTGGTGTTGAAATCACCCAAGAGGATCGTCGGCAGAGTTGTTGCGGGGAGTAGTTTACATACGTCCCTGGCCTCCTCGGCTGTCACATCCGACGTTACACCAGTACTCAGGTGAAGGCTACCAACCCAGAGCTGTCGTTGTGTTTGTACATCTTTAAGACGAACCCACACTCCATAGCGGTTTGCTTTGCGCCGCACCAGGTGGAATGTGTCCGTGTCGAAAGCAATTCCGTTTCCCCTCCATTGATTGTCGTCGTGTCTGCATTCCACCAGGGTGTACTGGGAAATCCGCGTTGAGCACCATCCCACCGGTCGTCTGGCGAGTTCTTGAAAAGCTACTATGTTAGGCCTGGTTTCCAGGGATTTGTGGATGCTTGTAATGGCATCTTCGGTGCTCTTGCCACCGATGTTCCAGGATGCAAAATGCACTGTACGTAAAGGTTCTTCAAAGCGTTGTGTGTGGGGTTTGACCTTTTTGGTCCTGACCCGTTTGGGGTTCCCCTTAGGTTGCATTGTCAGGCCCGGGTGGCCTAATTTAGGGGATGAGGTTTCCAAGGAGCAGGAAAAACCGTTTTGACTCACAGCAGTAGGCTCACTGGGTTCCCTCATCCCCTCTGGGGTGTCGGGTGGCAGCGCGTGTTCGCTCTGCCTGGACTGAAAAAACTCGGCAATAGTTTCCAACCTGGCCGGGCAGTCCTGCCTTTCCATCCATCCGACGGCATGGCCGGGTTGCTCGCTCAGGCTAGCGCATGCAATCTCACATTGAGCAGATTCAAATTCAGGGCTCAGTTCAGAGTCGTGTCAGGCGATCAGCTCCTTCCACCGCTGCGCGAGCACCTCCACATCCGCATTGAGGACCGCCGCCGCATAGTCAAGGTCAATCCACGAGCTGGGCAACTTTCCTTCGCAGATTCCGGTGCGGTCTTTGGGCACAGGCATCGTCATGCTGGAAAGGAGCTTTCCCCTGAGCCAGAGGTGCCCTCCTGTGTAGTCCGACTCCAGGTTCGGCTTCTCCGCTTCGCATGTTTCCAGGATGAGGCGCTTGCTCTTTCCCACATGTGCCGCCCTTTGCCTTTCCGCCAGGGTACGTCCGATGTTTGCCCGGAGTGTGCGACCAGATTCCATGCTTGGCGCCTGGTATGCGGCGTGCCGCACCTGCTGGGTGATGGCGATCATCCGGCGCTTAAGGTCTTGGGGGCCTTCATTGTCGCCGTGCAGCATGAGGCACATCACGAACCCCTTGCGCGGACCCGTTGCGAAAACATCGCGGAAGGAGTCTTGTATGCCGATCTTAAGGAAGGCCTCGGAAGCTTCCTGGAGAAGTGTGGCCTTTGCTGTGTTCTCCGGCCATCCTCCAACGATGAGTAGGTCCTGCCGCGGTCCTTCAGCCACCGTGGATCCCGCAGAAGAGTTTGCACAGGATCGGTTCTCCAAGAGCTTGAGGCGGTCATCGAGGCGGTCTTGGGCATCTCGTAGCTGTCCGATGTGGTCATCGTGGCGCTGGAGCTGTTTGTTTAAGGCCTTAAACTCCTTGCTGTTACTCTCGCGTAGGTCCTTGACCGCTTCTCGGAGTGCACTGCTTTGGGCCTGCTGTAGTGTCCGAGTTTGTTCCATCAGCATGGTCTGTAGGTCGGAGACACTGATGGGAGCAGCTGGGTCGGGCTTTCTTCGAACAGGAGAAGGGTTGTCTGCATGGTCCCCTGCCCTTTTCTTTTGCCCGTCATCCATAACCTCCTGGAGCTCGTCCTTTCCCTCCTCGTCCGGGAGCGGGATCTCCATTAGCGGGGCTTCCTCGGTCGCAGGCCTGCGCTCAAGCCGCAGTGGGTTGGACGTGCCTCCAGGCGGCACCTTCCACAAATGAGGCAGACGCAGTGGTACTTCTTTGCGTAAGTGAGGAGGCCCCCAGGTGCCAAAGGATATCTCGACGTTGCGCGGTCTGTCCCCCGAGCTCATTCACCGCCCTCCTCGGAGAGCGCGCAAGGCAACCGCGTGGGAGCAGCCGGCGAGCAGGCGAAGCAGCACGGACGCCGCCGAGGGCGGAATAAGCGAGCTGAGTCGGAAGGCCCCGGGGGAGACGAACCCTCGACTCGAGCTTGGGCTTGAGCCTTGAGCCTTGAGCCTTTAGGGTTTAGGGTTTAGGGTTAAACTTGAAGGAACCCCTCAAATCCGTCAGCGGACCCTTCACAGCAACCGTAAAGGAGCGCGTAAAGTCGAAGAAGAGCCTTGTCTAAAGGGGCCCTAAACCCTAAACCCTAAACCCTAAACCCTAAACCCAAAGATAGGTGGGATGCTCCCCAACCAAGAGCCCCCATGTCGAAGGGATCCTTCATCCTACCTACCTTCATCCCAGACCTTGAGAGGACCCCTAAACCCTAAACCCTAAACCCTAAACCCTAAACCCTAATCCCTAAACCTAAACCCCTAAACTTCCCTAAATTTCCCTAAGCCCTAAACCCTAAACCTACCTTTTGTGGCCCCCTGACCTTGAGAGGACATCTCATTGGCGTCAGACCAGTGCTCAGGTATTGCAGTTGGCAGCCCCAATATGTCCTCCGGGCTCTTGGCTCTTGGGGTGTGGAGGGTTTGGGTTTGGGTATCGAGGGGTTTAGGGCATAGCGTTTAGGGTTTTGGGTTTTGGGGTTTTAGGGGGGTTCAGCGCTTAAAGCTTAGGGTTAGAGGCTTAAGGTTTAGGGGCTTGGGGCTTCGGGAGAACCGCTTTCGGATTTTGTGGGGTTTATGGGCCTCTATACGGGGTTCTATATATTGGGGCCCTGTTGAATTCTTGGATGGCAAGGATTCTACTACATCTCATTAGGAGTGTTACTAGCCCTAAACCCTAAACCCTAAACCCTAAACCCTAAACGGGGATTAATGTTTTGGTTTTTCGGGGCTCTGTCGAGATGTTAGATGTCGAGTTAACGCGTGTTCGGGCTCAGGGTTTCGAGGTCCTAAAACCTAAACCTCTAAAGCCCTCAGCCCGAGACCCTAAACCCTAAACCCTAGACCCTAAACCCCCAAACCCTAAACCCCCAAACCCCAAACCCCCAAACCCTAAACCCCCAAACCCTAAACCACCAAACCCTAAACCCCCTAAACCCTAAACCCTAAACCCTAAACCTGTCATGTATCCCGAGGCACAGCGCTTTCTCAAAGGGCCAATGCATGCACCCATGGCACCACCGGCGCCAA